CACTTAGTATTTGAAAGTCAAATTGAGCCTCGCCTAATCCGGAGTTAAGTTAGGTAGGACCCATGAGGGAGAAGTTCTCTCAATATTTGTTTTTTCATTCAAAATATTCAAACTTAAAAGGAAAATTGAATTTATTCCATTCAAATCAAGAATTGTTGATTTTACCAAATACTATTAAATAAGTGTCCGGTGAGACTTAAACTATTAAATCCAATGTTAATTTTCAGAAGGCATCCAAAAGAAAAGATCCGAAATGGGCCATTCAATCCAACAAATCTATCTCCTTTTCGTCAAAGGTACCATTAAATTTGTTGATAGGAACATGCAAAATGAAAGCAACTCACTTTCACTGGAAAAGTATGTGGAACCGACCACATCAGTTGATGTAATTCTTCGAATTTATTTATTTTTTTAATACTTTTAATGTACGCTTTGGTGGGGGATTGTGGATTGCCCAAATATTTCTTTGCTAATAGTAGAAGGAAAAAGAGAAAGATTTAAATTAAAGACACGAAAATATGTCATTTTGTTATGATTGCTAGGTATCATCAATGATCAATCAATACATGGAGTGTGATTAAGAGTTAAAGTAAATTAAGCTTCTTTCTCCTTGATTAAGGAGGGAAGAAACGTCCCCACTACTACTTTCTGCTCCCGCACAAACGAATTCAATTTAGGATTGCAAGATATAATTGTTAAAGATAGTTGATATTAAATGATAGCAGTGGATATGTAATGATTGATGGTTATTCTCCTTTTTATCTCAAAATAATTGTTACCATTTTACTCGAGATTTGTCCTAAATTAATTATAATTTTTTATTTTTTAAAATAAATAAATATTTTTTCTTACTTTGATTTATAAATCTTATTATTATGTATTCATTTTAATTAATCATTCAATCATAAATTTTTTTTGTCTTTGTTTTTTAAAGGATATTTATAGATAAATACAAATATTATCCCCAAATCCTTAATTTGAAGAAGAAATAAAAAAACGACAAGTTATTTTAGGATGAAACAAGTATTTACTCTTTTTCTCCAAAAATAATTCTTATTTATTGACTTTTTTTTAAATAAGGATTTTAAGACAATTTACGTAATTACTATATTATTCTTAAAAAAAGTAAAAAAATAAAGTGAGATTTTTTGTGATGGTATAATTTATCAAAGTAAATGGATAATCACATGGTTAAATTAGGACATAAATATTTGTCTACCTTAAAAAATAATAAAAAACAACAATTAATTTAAGATAAATCTAAAGATTTAGAGACAATTTCTGTATTTATCTTTGTTATCCTAAAAACAGTTATTGTAAAAGTCAAAGTGAAACTTTTTGTAATAGGATAATTTAATACAGTGAATGGATAATAATAGAGTTAAACTAGAAAACAAAATATTTGTTTACCTTAAAAAATGAAAAAATGACAATTGATTTTTGATAAACTCAAAAAAAAGTAACAATTATTTTGAAATAGAGAAAGTATAATATAATAATATAACAAAAA